AAGATTGGCCTGGGCCACACATCGTCCTGTGCAAACTGAACTGAACTGAACTGAACTGGCGGGAAACACAGAACGGACACATGCCGCTTCAGAATGCTCGGCAGTGATAGCGCACCTGGTGGGAAGCGAAGGAATCACACTGATAATGAAGAGCCGGGACCGTCTAAAGCTCCGCGTACCGAAGAAAAAAATGCTAAAATTGATGGACTTGAGTCAAGTGGTTGGCAGGTTCGTTTTTGTTAGACTGTGTGCAAATTTTGTACACAATGGATAGTATATTTCTAGTACATTACACACTGAACTCATAAGATTTTGAACAATTAGATTAGCTCCAAAAGCCGTTTTCCAAAATAATTACTGAAATGATGTAATTATTTTTTCAGTGATTCTGAAAACCCGGTCAGCACACTCAGAGGGAATCTTTAGATAGCTAACACTATCTACGATAACCAAACACGATTTACCTCAACAATCGAGTATGACAAAGAGCAATACGACTATTGCTCCGGACGAGTAAGAAGACGGATAGCTCGTGACCAACGGTTTATAGGATCAGACCTGCAGTGAAAGGTTTACACGTGTAGCGATGCAGCGTGACTCACCGGGACAAGTGACAATTCCGCGGTTGAGCGTAAACAGGTAAGGTGCACCCGGTAAAACAAAAGCTCGTAGCGAGTAGAAAAGAAGTCGTAGGTAAAAGGTGAAGGTGGCGTGTCACTACAAATCCCCCTAGGGGCTCTCTGTTTCATATGAATCATCCCGATACGGTGTTATAAACATCAGCATACCTGAAATTGTTCAGATAGATCATTTAAATCCATCTAATGACGAGAATTTCGTTCAGAAATGGATATTGGATTTTCGAGGTCTTCTCTGCTAAAGTAATTATTCGCGAATGTTTATGCGTGCCCTTTTAATTTCATTTCTTGCTGGCTCATGATTATAAGCTTCCAAATATATTAATAATGCTCTTTGGCTAATGCTGTGCAGTGCCACTTAATTATAATTAATCATCATTAAGTGTAATCGGGAAAAAAAGTATCGGGAAATCCGAAACACTCTTCCCTGTGGGATCTAATAGCGTCAGAGCATAGTACAAATTCACGAGCCCTGCCGTTCAAGAACGCGAACTAATGAGACACTAACAGCAAATTCTGTAAACTGATGTGGCCTCCCTCAGTTGTTGCAAAGGTCTTGAAGACCCCTATTATGAAAATGCTATCCCACCTGGAAAGCAGTTTCATTACTTCATTACTTCCATTTCAAGCATTTTTTCTAATGATAATGTTTGATGTCTTCGCTTTATCGAATAGATAGATTTATGGATAAACAGTTCTCAGAAAGCGAGATCCAATCAATACAAAGACTACTATGCGATTCACAGAAGTGGCAAGTTGTTCAGTGCTGATAGGTTGTGTATAAATCTGGGAGCGATTTGATGATCATCTAGTGATCTGCGACAAACATTTATGATGAATAGCACCTCCTGTTCTCCGATAACTTCGAGGTTTATTATCCGCGGCATGTAGATTTATTGACAAAACTGTCTACGTTGCGTTGCACCCGGAAAATAGCTTCAATCCCTATTTTCGTCGGCGCCCCCTCCATCTCTGCCCTGATATTCTTCAAATCTCCCTTCTCCATACAGTCTTAACCATTAATAATCTCCTCTCGTATACTTTTCTCCTGCATGTCGTCCCAACGGACGAAACTTCACTGCTGCTTGTCTCACCTGTCTGCGTTAATTCTCCTACGATCTTCGTGTCTTAGCTTTATACAGTGGTTCGTATTTTCACAATGAAAATGCTAGTTAGCAGACGTGGATAGTGTCTAAACGAAGTAATGGCTTCATTACTCATCAGGTTATTCCACTAGATGTACACGGTTCTATAATCACGTGTGTCCAGACAACTTTTCCCCATTTTTGATACACCGTCTCACAAACAGGAAGTGAAACCGACATATCAAACCGTCTAAAGATCGATGTCCATCAGGCCATCGCAAAGTCAATTCCAAGCACTAGTGATGTAACCTACTTATTTGCCCTAGTTTTTCGGTCTGTTTACTACGCACGTCAGGAAGCTAATAAATTCGTTCACGTAATCAGCGCAAAGCAGAAGTTTTGATGATTAGCAATCAAAGTTGTGCTTTTCAGCTGAATTCTGATAAATATTCGTTTTTATGCGATGAGATTCCCTAGGTCTATCAGAGTTCAGAAGGTGTACTGTACAGATAATGTATTTATCAATTCTGTCGACTGCAGTTTAGGCGAACGAATGAACGGGCTGTATGATAAGTTGACTGAAGTTAGCGAGGAGGCGAAATTGTGATAAAGCCGTGCTCACAGATTATTTTACCGCTCAGACCGTACCATGAAAATTTCGTTCTGATCTGCCTTCTTATCCAGAGGTCATGGAGTTTGGTTGATTAGTTTTACTGCTCTCTGGTACCGAATTTTCGAGATATGAAATTTGCTCTAGTGGAACTGAGTTTTCAACGCTAACCTGAAGTTGTTAATGAAATAAAGCCACCACTGTATCAAATGACATCAAATAGATGACTTCATAAACAGCGTCCCAATGGGTGCTAATACGATACAATAATTACGCTACTGCAAGTCTGGACTTTGGACATCCTTGCTTCGCGGTTCGACCATCGGGAGTAGACTATGGTTGATAACTTCCCAGGCAGTTATGTGACGAAGCAAAGTAGCACACTGAAAGTGGTAACCGCATGCATATTCAAAGATCCAGTGTTGTTTGCTAAACTGAACTTTCTTGGGCGTGGGTATAATGTTACAGTGTCGTGGATCAGTTATTCCTCCCTAAAGATGATTGTGATGATTGATTGTGGTGGTGGTGGCGTAGTGGTTTAGTCGCTGTCACCGGCGTGCTTTGGACCCTATGGTCCGAGGTTCGAGCCCCGCCACCGCCACCGCCACCCGACTTTGGTGGTAGGCAGCTCTGCTGTCGCCCGGTTCAATACCACGCCTAACCTATCGGGGCCTTATGTGGTTCGCCACTCCAAGATCCGGGGCTTAGGTTGCCGATTTCAACCACTGAACAGCAGGTCCTCGAGACTATGGGATTTACCCCGTCTGCTGTTCATCACACCTAGATGTGTAATAAAAAAAATCATACTTTTCTTGACGCACAACCTACAGCCAGACCTATATGAAATGCACATCACGCCAAATTTTTTCTGATTTTTCACATTACCTCTAAGAATCATTTCTATGCAATAATCTGACGATTCAGTAAATAGTCTAACGTTGAACTTCTGTTTATTAGTTTCTAGTAAAAAAAGGAAAATATGATGGAAAATTTAAAGCGATACTGCAAAAAGCACCGTACACCCTGAGATTTAAATGAATCAAGTTGGTTAGAATGCTTAAGCGCCTGCTCGTTCCCTGGCAAAATGGTTGTCCAAACTATTATAACCCGTTCGAATTGGGTTAGCGAAACAGAGTGTCCAAGATGAACGAAATTAATAAAACGTTGGTCGAGCGAAGAATGATCTCGCGGAATATTAGCTCGCTGTTCAGTTCAGCTTCTACAACCATTAACCATGCACTTTCGTGCGCCGGGCAGATTCAAGCAGATGATGGAGAATTCATACAGACTGAGGTTGCAAATATAATGAGTAGATGCACGAGCGCCACTGTTTGCGACACCCAGCCATATCATCCAGTGTCTCTGACCACCGGTTACCATGATCTCGTGGTTTCCATCCAGGGAGCCTAACGGGACATATGTGACCGAGAATCTTGGTTAGAGTTTTCATACCCTCGTGCCGAGTCTAAGTTTGACTACCCTTGACCTTTTTCCATTCACTGTCTGTCTCGGTAACATCGCTCGCCGCGGAAACCTATTTGGAGAAATGCCTGGTATATGTTCAAACCAGCGTAATCTATGGAGGTTGATCACGTACCCCAGTGGACGGCCCTTGATTACCTAAAACTGTGCGTCTAGCCTCAGCGTTGTCTGTCCGGTTTTCCCACCATCAGCGAAACGATAGAATACCTGTGCACAAACTCATACTGCAGAGCTAGGCTTCCCTTTGGATGACGTAAAACGACTACTTTATTTCTGCATATATGTTCAGTTCAAGTTTAACGATGACTCAAAAGTCGGACTCCACTGCATTGTGCTCTAAGCTTTAGTGCTGCCTCATTCGAAAAACTGTACCCGAGATGTATATTTCCATATTACAATTCCTTGATACTAATAGCCGAAGCCAAATCCGAGCTTACGACTTCTTTCCGCCCGAGTTCACTACAAAAATTGGTGTTCATCAGGGTTGCTCCCTTGAAACAGCCCTATCCTCGTGCGGGGATAGGGGCATCGGTTTATTTCCAGGTGTAAGCTGACTGATTTGGAGTATACAAACGAAATTGTGCTAATAAGTGAAGGTCCAGGTAAGTTGCAGTCTTTTTTGGATAGTGTGAGTGCTAATGTATCTATATTTGGTACGCGTTTTGCACCTTCAGAGTGTCAAATGTTGCTACATTATTATAATATTATATTTCACACATGTCTGAGTTCAGACTGTGTGCTAAACGAATCGCGGCACAATAATCTTTATAAAAAGAAAAACTTTCCACGATTTGCATGCGGGCTGAATACTGCCAGTTTGCCCAGGCCAAGGCAGGTGAATCTTGAACAATCCACAAAGGGAGCCTTCAGCTAACCAAAATATGACCCGCAAGACAGCGGGGCGGCGTGTGAAAGCCGCAGTCCATTGGGAGCCGATGTCTAGTTCATCGAATCATACGCTACAAGATTGGGTTGGTTTAACCTCCATCCATGACTGAGGAAGTAATGGAGGAAGTAGCTAAATTTTGTTACCTGGGGAGCTATATTTCTCCTGGCGGATATCACAGATAGTGTCGGCACGCATACGGAAGGCTCGGTTAGTATTTGCCAACTTGAGACATCTGTGATGCCGTCTCCACATCCGGCTGTTCCTGAAGGGTCTAGGATATGCTGCAGCAGTTCGGCAATTGCCGCTATACGGCACAGACACCCTGCAATTACGACAAAGGGGATAAAAATAGCTTGCCGGTGCTCGAATACGGCTCTCTACGTCGCAAAGCACG